TGATGTGCACCACTTCAAGTCGCCACACTCCCTCCTTGTAGCACACAAAGCCAGAGAAGAAAGTAGAATTGCATAATAGAGACAGTTGACAGGGATATAAGACCAAAGGAATAGTAATAACGAAGAACAATATAGTTTCGTTCGAAATTATAAGTCACAAGGAGTGGATGCATCTACACCAGCCATTGAGAACGAGGATTTTGAGCCATATCACTGATTGCCTCCAGCCACCATTGGTTCTTACCGTCCCGAGGACTCCAACCAGTTAGGAAGTTCACACCTCTCTTCTTGGCTGGCTTAAAGTAACTGTTGTGGATTTGATTGACTGATGAGGCCATGTTTTGGTTTGACCACCAACCTGACCCATATGTCAGTGGCTAACATTGTCCGTTACTGAGGAAGGAGATTACTAGACATAAGTAACACATGTCCTAGACATCTCAGTCGATATAACTTCACAGCCTCATCGATTGATTTCTCCTCCTTGTCCAGCACTCGACCGACGCCTAACCCCAATATTGGTCATCTTAATATACCATTCGATAGAACGCAGGCACCTATGATCAAAGACAGCTAGTTAGCCAGCATTTTCATGTCTTCAACTCTCAATGACCTGGTGTCACAGCCATTATCGATTGAGTTAATTCGCTAGTATACGACTGTGATTCCATGAAAGACTGACAGTCTAAGGTGAGAGTAGGTTTCCGAACAAAAATTTCAGCATTCAGCTACTAAGCGTGAATCATATGGTCAATTTCTATGGTCATTAGGAGACTTCGCGAATCAATCAATCGCAATATAGATTTTTACCATAAATGTCTGCACTTGTTTGAAGAGTATTAAAAAGTGGTATGGTTGAGGTGCGTCGGTGGTACAGCGGTAGAGTGCTCGCTAACCACGCATGTGGTCTGTGATTCGATCCCCTACCGACGCACTTCTTTACCTCGCTAAGCCAGGAGTAAGACTGGTAGAGAGGGAAGGGTGAGCATGAGGCTAGCAACCCCATCCTGTAAAAATGATCACCACTGCTACCGAAACTTTTTTAAAACTCGTGATTATCTTGTGAAAAGTCAACTGCATTAGTAAACTAGGGCTTGAATGTATGCCAACTTATGATCGATTTTCTGGTCAAAATTTCTTGTTGAAATCCACGTTGTTTTTGTTCATCAGTATGTCACTTATATTTTGCATTATTCGTTTACTGGATGATTCAACACACTTATAAATCCACTGAGTAGAAAATACAATGATTGACATACTGTGTAACCGTCAGATTCCAGGGATGAATACATTATGTGAGGAGAAAGTTAAGTGTGTATATAACGTACCTGCTGGATGAACTGGTGTATAAGTTCACTCGTCATTTAGTTAAACCTTGAGTCTTTCTACCAGGCTGCTGTTATAATAATAATAATAATAAAAAAATAATAATAATAGGATTGTGTGTATTTTAAACATCTCCTGTGTGAATAGTGGTTATATTTTTCAGCCTAACGTGATATCCATGTGTTGACCAAAGGAAGTTTATACTTCTCACCAGCTCTCTATGTCTGTCAGCGAAATATAGGCACTAAAAGTGGAAGATATGGAAAAGCTGGCTAGCTGTCTTTGATCATAGGTGTCTACCTCTTGTGTTAAGTGGTATGATCAGCTGAGGCATATTGAAGTTAGAGTTCTGTCGAATGCTAGGTAGGGAGGGGAAATCAATACACGAGGCTGTGAAGCAGCTGCATCGGTTGATAGAGATGGTTAGGACACGTGTTATGTATGCCTATCAATCACCCTCCTCGACAGCCGATGTTAGCTGGCTGACATTGGGTCAAACTCGAAAAGAGCTGATAGTGGTGTTCAAAGCAAAACATAATTTCATCAATCAATGAAGTCCACAACAGTTACTTTGAGCCAGCCAATTAAGTAGGTATAGATTAGCTGTCTGGCTAGTTGAGGTCGTCGGAATGGTAAGAAGCAATGGAAGCTAGAGACAATGATATGGCTACAAATCGTCGGTTTCGATGGTGGCGGAGATGCATTCACTCTTTGCGATTAATTTGTCTTATCCATCCAATAGAACTCTATTGTTTCTCCGTTTTACTAATCTTTTCCTCTCACTCACACTTGTGTTTATTATGTCTTTTAATGAATCTGCGTTTACTCTCTTCTATTGCCTTGTGTTCTATGTGGATGGAGTGTGGTTAGTTGAACTGGTGCCCATGTGTGCAAACTAGTTCTATGTTGAAACCAGTTGGTTAGTTTAAGGCCACATCTTATTACTAGTAATTTGCAGTTTCGTACCCGCCTCATCTGTTAAGTTTTTGAAAATCTTACAATACCACTGTAATAGGAGAAGACGGTAGTTTTTTGGTAGCGGAATTGTTATTCGAGTGAATACTGCCATGGTTAATTGAAAAATCCAGAAACGCGTTATGTTGAAATCTGCATTTGCAGTGTGTTCTTTCATTGGGATTCTTTCGTCTTCCTTTCATATTTTCTATTTTGCTTCACCAGAATTTTTCATTTCTCCTTCTTTACTACATAATCCATCGCTCTGTTTTTCGATATTCCTGCAGAAGGCATCACACATGATATATACTACTTACAAAATCCTGTCAGAAACAAATACCGCACCATCATCCTTGATACAAAAACAATTTGACCTTCGCACATGCTGTTGTGATACTTATTGATGACATAAAATTGCATGCTGTGGTAGTTACTATATCCTATAATTGTCAACAGACTGCATAACCCATTGATAAAGTGTTTAATTGGTGGATGGTGACTAGCAGTGGAATCCAGTCAGGTTGAGCATTTCGTCCTATTAGGGACCCGTCAGCTGGATGTACCTGCATTTCTCAGTCAGTGATCACACGACTTCGATACTTGAGTTTTATAGTCTTCTTTGTTCTCTCCTATTTGTCGTCGTTGGGTTAGTAGAATTTTCCAGATGTCTGGGACAGGTGTGGAATCATTCCCTTACACGTATTTGCAGTTGGTTCGATATACAAAGCGTTCGTTATCAATCTCTCCCTCCACTCTGTTATATTAGATTTTAAAACTGTCATCTTATCCCATCCTATTGTATGCTTGTGTGTAATTGCATGTAGTGAGTGCTATATACAACCGAACTATTGTCTAGATTTCTTATCCTATTCAGTTCAACCAATCTAGATTTTACTGCCAGGTTTTTATGCTCGGCTAGTTTGACTACCCCTGTTCTACTACTCTGACCGATGTATTTGACCTGACAATCATTGCAGGCCGGGTATTAGATGAACTAAATTGTTTCGTTATGAAGGCTCCACAAGATTGATGCTTTAACCGACAAAGCTTGTTTCTAATTGATTTTGTGGTTGGCTTGAAAGACGGCCACTTTTATTCCTGCCTTAATAATAATTCTGCGTAAGGTTTCCGAGGTGTGTGGAATTACTACTGATGATTTAGATTCCCTATTGTCGGTATTGTCATAATCTAGAGGATGTTTGGCATGCATTTCGTCACTAATATTACCATTATTATCATACTGTTTATTATTATTATTATAATCACTATTATCGTTATTTATTTTATTTTTACATTTCCCTACATACTTTCTGACTAATTTATCAGGGTAATTATTAAGTTTCAATGCTTCTATGTGTCTCACTTCCTGTGTTAGATTTTCCTTGGTACCACCTAGCTTTTGTGTTCTGTCACTTAAGCATTTCACCAATCCTATTTTTACTGACACAGGATGGGATGATCGGAAGTCCAAATATCTGTTTGAATGTGTGGGTTTCCTGAAAACAATACTGTTTAACTTCCTATCTTCCTTCCTTTTTTACGCTACAATCTAACATTGGAAGCTCCTTGAGTTCCTGACTTTTCAAATCATGATTGAATTGAATTCCCTCCACCTTTGAGTTAATGTGTTCAAAAAATCTATCTATATCCTGTGTTTTAAGTGCAGTGAATGTGTTATCTACATACCTCCACCATACTTTTGGTGTGGGGGTGAACGTTTCAATCGCTAACTTCTCCCACTTATCCATGAATGTACCTGCCACAACGGGGGATATTGATGACCCCATGACAACTCGTTCAGTTTGTTTGTATATTTTTCCTTGGAATTTAAATACTGTGGAAGTCAGGGATAGCTGCACTCCCAACATTACGTCCTCAAGTGGCACCTAAGTTCTTGTTCCTGGTCAGAAATAGGTTCGTTTCTGACTGCCTCTATAGCCATATTTACTGGTGTACGTGTATATAAACTGCAATATCAGAACTAACCATTTTTTCTTCATTATCTAATTTAAAATTATTTAATCTATGTTTTAGTTTAGAGGAATCTGTTGGTTCAGATTTTGAGTGGTGTTTAAGGGGATTTAATACCATGGCTAAATATTTAGATAATTCATAAATAGGTGAATTTCTAAAATCAAATATAAGTCTAATAGGGTATCCTGACTTATGAACTTTAACACCATACATCCCACTGGGGTTATTAGTTTCGGGTATTAAATTAAACCATTTAGACTCACCTAGAAACGGCTTCATTCGGCGTATAAGGTCCACCGTGGATTTCTTAACCTTGTTCATAACGGTGTTTGTTTATCGAATCAACTGCGAACACGTATAATAGGAATGATTCAACACCTGTCCAGCCAGATATCTGGAAAATTCTACTACCCCAACGATGAGAAATAAGAGAGAACAAAGAAAACTATAAAACTCAAGTTTCAAAGTCGTGTGATTATAATTGATGATATGATTATGAACAATAATAAACTGTGTTCGAAACCTCGTCATCCAGTAAATAATCCTGTTTCACAGACAGTGTGATACATCTAATAAACAAACTAATATGGAATTATTTACTACCACAGTGCCCAAGTTTTAGGCATATACTAATAGTTCACTTTTTAATTATTATATGTATTAAGTGTGAATGTAAAAAACCATTGTTTCACTGTTGTCGTTGTTGTTATTGTTATTGTTTAATATATCTCTCCATTATCCTATAGAATCTTCACCTCCATTACCTCCTCCACCGGATCCGTATGCTTCAGAAAATTTTACACTTCCACCGCCTCCTCTATCAGCAGTAGATATTCCAGCCTTGCCGTATAGTAGTAATACAGTAATTAGACAGGATACACTAAAATCTTTATCTTCACAGTTCAACTCTCCTTCAAATGGTTATTTAAATCGACAGATATCTGATGTAAGTCGACTTTTTTGTTGATGTTGTTGTATATTTGTTGCTTCTGACTTTTGTTGCTTTTAATATTCAGAGCACCTTATATATATATATATATATATATATATATATTATTGCTTCACGTTCCCAGTGGAACATAAGACTTAAAGCTAGAGACTTGAAGTTTCTGTAGCAGTTGTGTTTATTTTTACAGGATGGGTGTGCTAGCTCCATGCCCAACCTTTCCTCTTTACCAGTATTTTTTATTACTGACTTAGTGAGGTAAAGGAGTGGGGATCGAACTCCGGACCACATGAGGCGTGGTCGGCGAGCATTCTACCTCTGTGCCACCGACGCATATATATATATATATATTTAGCATAATACGTCTTAATAAGAGCAGTGATTATTAGTGTCAGTTGCTGCCTAATGGAAGATTCATCAATTCAATTCAAACTGAATTGTTCATTCATAATCCCTTTGTGGTTGTACTTCTTAACAAGTAGTACTTAAAGATAATAACATCTCAGAGTCTCCGCTTACTCCCCAACCGAGTGCGGTTTGGATGAACTAAAGGATGATTTCTACCAGAAACTGTCTAATTTGCTGCAAAAGGCAAAACGTTCAGATATAGTTGTTTTAGCAGGCGACTTCAATGCTGAAGTAGGGAAGTTGTGCCAGACTGAGAAGTATGTAGGTGGTATGTATGGAGTTCAGTGCCGACGAACCGAGAACTGTGATCGTCTTCTACAGTTTTGCTCAGATAATAATCTGTTCCTAATCAGCACTAACTTTAGGCGCAAAGAGAGACACTGCGTAACCTGGCGACCTCCATCACCAAATCAACGCTGGACTCATACAGACCATATAGTGATAAGGTATCGTTTGGCAACGGTCAGTAGAAAACTGCCGCTCCTTCTGGAGCACGTGCGTAAACCCTGACCATGCTCTAGTTCGTGCGTCTTTATGCTTAAGATTGAATGGACGTAAAAAATGTTCGAAGCGAAGCAGTTACGCCCTTAACTAGATCGAGACACTAAGTCCCTATTTAAGGGAAAATAGAGAAATAAGTATCTGAAGTAGACAGCAGGACTTCCCCTGAGGTAGCCTGCCACAACATACAGTTAGCTATAGACACAGCTGTAAAAGCTGTTAATAAGCTAAAACCTAAAGTTAGTAATAGCCATTGGATCTCCACCTCCTCATTCTAACTGATTACCGCAAGAAGACTGATTCTGGCGAACTCCGATTATGATGAGGAGCGAATGCCACTTAAACGAAAACTAACGAGGTGCCTCCGAAACGACCGTAAGCAGTAGTGGGCGACAAAAGTGACAGAGATGGAAGAGGCTTCGGGGACTGGTAACGTTAGACATTGATTATCCCGATATACAAGAAGGGTGACACGTTTTCCTGTGATAATTACAGGGAGATTAGCTTGACTAATATGGTATCTAAAGTTCTAGTCTCAATAATAGTAATGTGCAGACTAATCGGAAGGAATGAACACGAGACAACCAGGTAGGCTTTAGACCAGGAAGAGGGTGTACTGATCATATTTTCACCCTCCGACAGATTCTAGAGCATAGGTATACTTACTACCTTCCGATACTAATCATATTTCTTTACCTAAAAACCTCATTAGATTCAGCCAACTGAGAACTACTACGAAGATGTTTGTCTGTGAAAGAAATGCCGAAAAAATCCACTGATCGAGACATCCTATTCGAACTCATCCAGTCAACAAGCTAAGAGCCTACGGAGAGTTGTCATCCGAAGTGGTGTCCATCAAGGAGGCCTGCAGATCCCACTTTCTATTTAATCTCATTATAGATACACTAATGGACTGAACCCTAACTGCTGACTTCAGAGACCCAGGGATTGACTTGTTACCACCACGACATAACAGTCTCATTGATTTAGAATATGCAGATGACATAGCCCTTCTTTCTAGGTGAAGACGCTGACAAAATAGAGCACAGTCTTCTGAACACCTTGAGTAGAAAGCAATCATTGAGTGTTTGGCATGTGATTCACTCCTGCTGACAAATGTAAGATGGTGATACAGGGCTGGACAACATCGACTCATTCCTGGCTCAAAGATAGGTGGAAGGAGTGAAGTGTTGATCGAACGTGCTGACCACTTCACTTATCTGGGAAGTCGAATCAGCCAGCCTCAGTGGGTCGGTCAGTGACAGGATATCATCACGCATACAGAAGCCTTGTTTGGCATCGAATCAGATTGGAAAAGAGTTGATAGTGGTGTTGTGGAAAACAGTTAGTCAGGAAATATTCATAAATGTTGTTTTGGGTAAAGGACTCCTACGGAATTGAATACTACCTATAAATGCAAAGTCCAAAACATTCCATAATTCTCCCCAGTTACGTATATATATATATATATATATATATCCACTCCTATCTAATATGGTGCATACTGATGATGGGTCAGTTATTTTTGATGTTCACAGAACAGCTATGCCCAACAAATAGAATCCAGTTATGATTGCAAATTAGACAATGTATAGGAGAATTACAGAGTTGTCAGCTATTCAGTGTTGCATGAATAATTGTTTATAGTTATATAAAACATGACAGTTTGTCAAGATGATAACCTGGTTGATGACGGTTGTCACACTGATCGCTTTCTATAAGGACTAATAAAACAGCATATATATATATACATATATACAACATCTTAAACATTACACAACTGCAAATTTTGGCCATATAAGTACAGTAAGATAAAACCTCAAATTTTTACGAGGATATTTGGTTTAAAAAAAATATTTTGACAGTAATCAATCATATCCTCCTCTTCTTCGCTATATTAAAATCATAATAAAGCAAAAATAACGATGGCCAAAAGTTTAGTTTTATAAGCTTTCTACATATTCACAATTTAATCACAGGATACGTAATAGCGGTGCACATGTGCAACCAGTTCAACTCGCCACACTCCATCTATGTAGAACACAAAGCAGCAGAAGAGAGCAAAGAAGGAATCATCAAAAGACAAATGATAAACCCAAGTATGAGTGGGGGAAGAAGATATGCAATATGGAAGAACAATAGAGTCCTATTGGATGGATATGACAGATCAATCTCAAAGAATGAATGCATCTCTGCCATCATCGAGAACAAGGATTTTGAGTCATATCATGAATTCTCTACAGCTTCCGTTGCTTCTTGTCATCCCGACGACCCCAACCAACCAGCCTGTTCATCTACACCTTTCTATATAACTGGCTAGTTGGCTGGCTCAAAGTAACTGTTGTGGATTTCATTGAATGATGAAGCTATGTTTTGGTCTAACCACCACTATCAGCTCTTTTCCAACATGATCGATCCTTTGTCAGTCTGCTGAGACTGTCAGTTGAGGAGGGCGATGGATAGACCTGTATGCGTGACACGTCCTAACCATCTCTTCCAATCGGTGTAACTGGTTTACAGCCTCGTCTATTAATTTCCCCTCCTTGCCTAGCATTCGACTGACGCCAAACCTCAATATTGCTTCAATATCGCTCACCTGATTATACCACATGTAGATTGTGACCCGTTTCTTCGATTAGTCTGAAAATTCGATTAACGGCGTTTTAGTAATTTTATCCAACTTACATAAGATTATGTAGATATATTGGAGAAGATTTGTTGCTCAGACGGATGATTTTGATGTATTTATGCCCTCTGAGTTGAATGCTTTACTTCTAAAGCCCTCATTGCTTCCTACAACACTCAAAATTACAACACGCAGATTGGATGGAATAAATAAACCTCTGTCTGAGAACGTACTTCCAGTTCAACGGCCAAATATATGAACAAGTCAAAGGAACACCCATGGGACCTCTGATATCAGGTTTGATTGCAGAAGCAGTGATGCAAAGGCTCGGAAACATAATCCTAGCGAAGATCAAACCCGAAATTTGGATACGCTACGTCGATGACACATTTGTAATAATCAAAAGAAACGAGTTAGATAAAACTCTTCAACGACATCAAATTCACAAGAGAGGAGGAATATGAGAACCAAATCCCATTTTTGGACGTCTTAGTCAAGCAAACAACCACAAGGGTATTAGAAACTCAAGTTTGTAGAAAATCAACCCTCACAGACCAAATCCTGAATTACAACAGCAACAACCCAATAACACACAAAATGAATTGCATACAAACACTATTCAAGAGGGCAAGGACTCATTGCAGCACTCCCACCTTAAGAAAAATTGAAGAAAAGTATCTCATGGATGTCTTCCAAAAGAATGGATATCCACGGAATTTCATCAAAAGACATATACCCCCAAGACAACCGACCATATCAAAGGTCTTCAAGGAAAATGCGAAGAAAATTATCTTACGTATATAAAGGACGTCTCAGAAATGACTACAAGAATCTCCAAACCTTTAGGAATGGACTCCGCACACAAACCAACACAATCACTTCACTCAGCTGGTTCTGTGTCAACCAAAAGACTCAACAGAGAAAGAAAATTAAAACCAACATCATCTACAAGATAAATTCCATCAACTATGAGAAGCACTACATTTGCCAAAGTGGACACTCTCTTCGTTTTCGTAACCATGGTTACAAACTAACCATCAAAAGACATGATGACATCTATTCCGTTATATCACACTGCATACAGACAACCATGGATATCAATTCGACTGGGACAACGTTAAAATAATAGACAGAGGAAACACGAAGAATGTCAGATAATTTTGGGAATTCTGGTATTCCGAAGAAGAGTCCCAAACTAGGACGAAACAGCTGTCCTGTATTCCAGTGTTGGTTTTTCAATATTTCTCTAACTGATGTCAGCTTATAATAAAGTCCTCCACCCAATTAATTGTTTATGTCTAGCTGCCTTCAGCTTCATTCACTCATATTTTACCTGTTTTTCAGCATGTCTGAATATCTTCCCGTCTCTCTCTCTTACTTACTGTCTCTTATCATGTTTGTCTATTGGCATCTGATATAATCTTTTGGCTGGCTAAGGATTACTTGACTTGCTAAATGTCTAGAA